GGGCTCCCTGCTCAGCGGGAAGCCTGCTTCTCCCTCTCCCACTCCCCCTGCTGGGGTTCCCTCTCTCGCTGTCTCTCTCTCTCTGTCAAATAAATAAATAAATAAAATCTTTTTAAAAAAAGAAGAATAAACAGTGGAGAAGCTACTGGATGTAAACCAGCCTGTCTTTGGACGCCTGAGATGCATAGAAAGCTGTGAGTGCCCAGAGAGTTCCTGGCGGCAAATCCTCACTTTGCAGCAGGGTTCAGCGGAGAATCATTTTACCGGTTTCTCTACCGCCTTCAATGGCTATAGTGGAGTAGATCCTGGGTTTTTCATTTTTTTAAGATTTTATTTATTTATTTGACAGAGAGAGAGAGAGCAAGCAAGCAGAAGCAGGAGGAGCGGCAGAGGGAGAGGGAGAAGCAGGCTCCCCGCCGAGCAGGGATCCCGATGCAGGGCTCAGTCCCAGGACCCTGGGATCATGACCTGAGCCGAAGGCAGATGCTTAACTGACTGAGCCACCCAGGTGCCCCTGTTTTTTTGTTTTTTGTTTTTTTTCTGTTTTTTTGTTTTTTAATTCAGAAGTTTCCCAGGCCTGGAGAAGGACTTACAATGTAAGCCAGAGGAAGGCTCCAACACTCCTGTTACAAGCAGTGTAAGTAAAATAGAGCCGGCAGCACGATGGGCCTGGCCCTGTCGTCCATGCAGAGTCCAGGGAGAGCGAAGACCGCTGAGGGCAGGAGCACGGCTCCCAAAACATCAGGTCAGGAGCTGCTTGGGCTCTGCAGCAGATGCCAGCAAGTTCTGTCTCAGTGGGGCATCAGGGGGCATCCCTGACTGCCCCTGTGGCAGAATGGGAGGTGGCAACTGTTGGGCCCGAAAGTGTGACGTTTGAGAAGCCAGCAGGACTGGACCATGTGGCTGGACCGCTCGGAGGCCAGAAGGCCCCTGTGGCCATGGAGGAGGGCAGCGTCCAGGCAGAATGGGCCTGTGTGCGGCCCCTCGGGTAGTCAGACCCGCAGGGAGGGTCAGCCCAGTCCCCCTCTTCCTGGGCCCAGGCCTGTTTTGCCGGCACCACCTCAGTCCAGCGATCAGGGACGGGCACAAAGTCCTTGGGTACCTGGTGTTCAGGCACCACTGCAGGGTTGGAGTGGGGCGCTCCAGTTATGGGGGTCACGCTGCCTGGCCAGACGGGCTCAGAGCTGGGGCTGCCACCCTCCACCGTCCCCTGCCAAAGTGACCACCACAGTTCAAACTGGAAGCCTGAGTTTGTGGGATTTTCTGCTTGGAGTCCCTCCTCACTCGCCAGCAGGCATGAGTGGAGGGGTAGGGAGTAAGGAGTGGAAATGGGGGAACTGGGGAAGGGATGGGGGCCGCACTGAGGCTGGGCTGCCCCCAGAATTGAGGTTGGGCAGGTGGAAATGATGATGGATAATGAGCAAAGAAAATGGAGCCCACGCCCAGCAATGGAGGAACACGCAGCCAACACGTGCCACATCCTCCGAAAACTACCTGGGCCACTAAAGCAAGCCCCATGCTTTATCTTGGTTTTTGACTCTGTGAAACGGAATTCCTAATGCCCTCCCAGGGGAAGTGGCTGCGAGGCCCTGGGGATCCCACGCAGTGGAGCAGCCAGCAGGAAGTGCTGAGGGTGGGAGCTGGGGGCGAGGAATGGAAATTGAGGCGCTGGGGGGGCCAGTGTGCCTTGCACAGAAATGAGAGTGTGGGGGGAAGTAAGGTGTTTGGGGACATGATGAGTTTGAGAAGGTGGCAGGCAGCTGGGAACGGGGGCCTGGACCATGGGGAGCCACAGAGGCAGAAGGTGGGTAAGGGTCTTTTGCATCAGGATGTTTGTGAGCAGCCAAAGGGCATTTGCTGAGAAGAGAAGCCAAAGATAGGTTTGGGGGGAGGGCTGGCACCTAGAACCAGCAAGGAGACAAGGAGGAGGAAAGGAGGTAGGAGGATGCTGGGAAAATGCAATGTGTGGAGGTAGAAGCAGTTGCCACTGGGCAGAGCTGTGCCCAGAGCGAGACTCTGGGGAGAGCTGCACATTTTCCTGGGAACGCAATAGGAAGAGAGGGCACGAAGTACAGATTATGAGGAATGAGTGGACGGTGAGGACGTGGCAGATTTCACTGACTGTTAAGTTACCCCCCAGCAGCCTGCTAAGAACCATGAGTGCCTGCTGGCCCAATGCCCGGTGCCAAGATATGCTGCCATCCCTGGCTGCCAGACACGCGGTGGGGGGCGGGGGGCGGGGGGCAGCACAGCCAGCATGACAGCCCCCTCGTCCCACAAGAGAGCAAACCACTTAACCCCAAACGTATATAAAAGGTCAAGATCAGGAAATTCAACAGATTTCCAGCCACATCTACCTCCCAAAACATAGCAGTGAATCCGGAAGTAAACAAAACGTTTCTGCGCAGTCAAAATGGCCACCACAGCACTTGCAATACTAGCGTGTTCTGCTTTGTAAGGAGACACCCTCAAGCCCTCACTCAGAGCCAACCTGCTTTTATTTGACACACAGTTCTAATAAACATTGTTACCTGATTTGAACTGAAAGAGAAAAAATCAAAATCAAGAGAAAAGGTACAACGTAAGCGGCTCAGAAAAAATCTCAACTGTGTGAGATCATCATGGTGAGGGATCAGCTTGGACAGGCTCCCAGTTCCCACGCCAGCCTGATATTCTGTGATTCTCATATTTTTGTGAAGAGGATCCCCAAGTTATGAAGACATTGTGAAATCACGTTCCATCTCCATTGCTTAAGAAGGCAAGGCAGCGTACGTTTTATGTCAGGAAGTCGTTCTTTAAAAAGTTTCGGCTCTCGAAGAGGAAATGGAGCCGCTTTTATTGAGCATCTACTATGTACTCACCAGCTTAACTCTGTTAACTTCCTAACAATCCTACAAGTAACCACGATTTTTTTACCATTTTATGGAAAAGAAAGTAGGCTTAGAAGGTTGAAGTGATTTGCCCCAGCTCACACCATGAATGCTTTTCTCACTGCCCTCTACTTCCTTCCAGTTCTGGGCAGAGTGCCTGTGGGGACCACCTGCTCTCTGTCAACAGACGGCCTATCGGGCCTGAGCTCAGGGAATGCCCTCGAGGGAGCTGGTGATGCTCTCTGTCTGGTCAGCTCACCTTGGGGCCCAGTGTTCCTGCCCTGGCCTCCATAGCTTTGGCTACTCTGTGGGCTGCAGGTGGGGGCCCAGCCCTGCTCCTGCCCCTGAATCCAGGACAAAGCTCTCTTCTCCTCGGGTGTAGACCATGAGTGGTGAAGTCCTTGCAGCTGGAAGATAAACAATGGCTGTGAGAGCCCCATCACGAGGGGGTAGTTTTGTGAGCCCTGTCCTCCAGGGGAAATTACTCCTGAAGGACTTTGATGGTGACAGGCCCTGTGTTTCATTCTGTAATCATTCAGAAAAGTACATACATTTCAGTTTATTCAAAACAGTGGAAAATCATTGAGGTTTTTCCTGTGTAAAGGTCAAACTATAAAAAGATAAGTGGACTCAGAGAAATCCAGGCTAGTCATGAAAACGTGGCAGTGTATTAAAATGGATCCAAAAGAGGATCTAATCCTCCTTTGGAAACAGCTCATACTAATCCCCCCCTCCCCTTCCCTATGTGTGTTAAATTTCTGTTTGCAGGTTCAAGGACACGAAGTCAGGGACTCTCAAGGGGTAGAACATGGACGGTACAGACTGGGGTCCTTGATCAGAATCCCTGACCCGCTGCTACATGCCAAGTGTGAAAGCTGGAGCAGGAACCCTCACCTCCCTGGGCCTCCATTCCCTCGCGTGCAAAATTGGGAAGATCCCCCTTTTCCAGGCTCTCCTAGAGGTCGAATGTGCTGCCCGACGAGGTCTGGGCAGGTGAGGACTGAGTGGAGAGAACCTTCCACCATCCCGACCATGACTTCCACCTGAGGGGACAGAGAAAGCCTGGCTTGGGCCACTGGCAATGGGGATCCTGAGGAGGGTGCTGCCGGACCACGGCCTGGGGATAGATCCCCTGAGCTGGCCCCCCCTCCCCGCCACTGGATGTCCCCAGACTCTGATGGGCCTCCACCGCATACGGACTTGGGTGACCTGGGAAGTCCTTGCAGCTGGAAGCTAAACAAGTATCCTTGAGATCCCCATCACGAAGACATTTTTAAAGGGGCACTTGGTAATTCAATGGCTTTTGTGAAGCTGAGCAGGCAACTGGAGAATGATAGAGAATGATAGTTTTGAAAATGCAGCCTGGACAGTAAAATCCTCACTTTCCCCTTTACTAATTCAGAACTTCCGAGACGGTCTTTACGAGGGCCTATGGGAAGATAAGGAGCAGCTGTGTCTCCTCTTCTTTATCAAAACCACGCTCCATCTTTGCTCAATTGTGTGCAGCCCTGCCTGGTTGGGGGGCGGGGGGAGGCCCAGCCTGGTCTCTCCCGCACAGCCCACCCCCTGGAGAGAGGAGGGGATTTGGGAGGTGGAGTCAGGTTCCCTGGTGGCAGTCCCTGGGCCTGGGAGGACTCCAAGCCCCACAAATGGGAGCTGGCTTTTGTTTCTTGACTTGTGTCCAAGTAGAACAGAAGGCGCGGCCATGGGCAAAAACCTGAAGGGGGAGGCAACCGCTCTTGGGTCTGGCCAGCAGGGCTGTGGCGGGAGATGAAGGAGCCCCGCGGAGGCCAGATCCTGCAGACATCAGATCTGGTGAGTGACAGGTCTCATTTGTGTTCTACAAAGGTCACCCCGGCTGTGGGAGCGGAAGGGTTCAGAGGCAGCATGGCCGGGCAGGGGGTGGCCTTGGCCACCCAGGGACGTGGTGGTGGGATACAGGACATGCTGTATCTGGAGGACGGATTGCTGTCACACGGAGGGCTGGGGGAGAGGGGATCCTGGGAGGAGGTCTCTCTGGCCTGTGGCCTGGGCACCTGGGTGGATGGTGATGCCTCAGGAGAAGATGAGATGGGGGAGGGGTGGTATGGATTTGGGCATCAGTGAGGAGTCAGAGTTGGGCAGGTAGCCACTGAGCTGATGGAGGGACATCCGGGTGGCCCTGTCCATTGGAGCATGGGACTCAAAAGTGCAGTTAGGGAGAGAGTCGAGCCAGAGATAGGAAAGTGGATGAGGCCAGCACACTGGTAGCTGAAGCCAATGAGTGGACGAGATCCCATGGGGCGAGTACAGGGTGAGACCCAAAGAGGGCGAGGAAGAGAAGTTTCAGGAATCACTGGCATTCGAGTTCGAGGAAACAGACTCTGTGGAGAAGCGTAGGGAGTGGTCAGAGAGGTGTCTGGGAGAACAGGCGCTCAGGGAGACCCCGGGAGTCTGCGGGGTGGGGGGACACAGCCTGGAGGGTTGCTTTCGGGCTCGCGGCCGTGTTAACCTGTGCACACGGGAGAGAGATCCAG